TGCAAGGCATCTGAAGCTACTGAAACTGATATGCCAGAGACACTCTAACCTAATAAGTATGGGAAGGAATCTGGCTTGTATCGCACTGGTGATGCCCTTTCACACGTTTCGCACTAGTGAGTAAAAAATCTTGAGGGAATCCCTTCCAATTAAAAAGACCAAAGCTACTGGATTCATTTCTACTCAGATTGAACTCTTCCAGTTCTTTCTCATTTACTGGAGGCACCCCACATCTTTTCTGAATCCAAATTGATACCAAAATGAAGAAACAAAAACGTATCAAACATCATGATCAAAGAATATAAGAAATAAATAACCAATGCAATTCATGTGTATCTTGAAATAAACATTGGATTATGTTAGCCAATCTGATTTTGAAGAAGGCAATTTAACAAACAACATGTTACTTTATCATATTTATAAATATTTTAGGACTAAAACTAAACTTATCTGGTATCATTACAATTTTTTTTGTTTTAAAGGTTCCTTTATTGCAAATCCTTATCGTTACGCAGCATAGTTTGGCGAACCTAAAACATCAACATTAAGTTACTCTATCACTCTAACACTGTACCTCTTTTTCCCTTTTGTTTGACATTGCTGGTGCACTTCAAGGTTACTAGCAACTGTCACTGGCAAATGACTCCTATTATTGTCTGCTATAATATTTTTTTCTTAATTTTTAATTAATAATATTTTGAATATATAATTACTTGAATTCTTTGTTAATTTTATTGAAAAAAACAATATCAATTAATTAAGGTAGAACATAAAATACGATATTTGTTCAATGTTAAACTATAACCTAAACCCACATTCCTGCATCATATAAATCATGCATATTAACCATTTGAGAAAAACTAGAGCGTAACCGTTTATACTTCAATAGTCTTTGTACAAAGTGATGTGGCAGCTGTCACACCACTAGTTTCACATCAATCTTCTCTTTCTTTTAACAAACTAGTAGTGTGGCAACTGCCACATCACTTTATACGAAGACACTCTGTAGGAATCTTCGTAAATCTAGCATTTATCTTAATCGTTTATGCTTGAATAGAGCGCAAAATTTTAACCAAACATATATTAGGTTATTTAATACTATATCCATACAGTAAGTGGCCAAAGTATAATTAATACATCACCACTTTTTGATTAATTGAGACAAATAACAATGGACAACAATATTAATCACAATGAGCTATTATTCCTATTGTTGATGTAGAAATACTCAGTGTATTATTCTAATATATCATTTTATTTCATTTAAAATGCATAAGAACATTTCCAATGGTGTTCTTTATTTTAAAGAGCATATTTCACATAAGTAAAAAGCATTTTCATTAATTTCTAAATATAAAGAGCAAAAATTGTATTCAAATTCAATGGACTTTTTAAATTAGACTTAACAAATAGGAGAGAAACTTAATAGGAAAGCAAATTAATAATAAAATACATAGAAACTTATAATTTATTAAATAAAATTAGGATAGAAAGTGAAATTTGACTCTCTAGATGTAAAAGTAAAATTCACTCTTTAATTTATATTTAAATAATAAAGAGTCTATTGAACTCTTGTTTTTATGGACAAATTCTTTATAATAAAGAGTTTGTATCATTTAGAGATGCTCTAATATAAACAATATCTTCATGAAGAATTAGAGTTAGTATAAATTCTAGTGACATGTGGTCATCATTCTGATTGAGACTTAGTATATTTTTCTTATTAGTTGTGAATTACTGAAGCCATTTGAACATATAAATGATGTTGCACACCAATTTAAAATAAAATCATTCGGAATTTTTTTTAAACAAGAAAAAGAAAATTTAGTGTAGAGTTGTAGTGTAAAATAAAACTAATAGTTGAGAATTACCTTGAACTGGATTCGCCATAAGTGGAATTCTCAAATTCCGACATCTTGGACATTAATTCCTTGTGATTTTCCTCACCATCATAGATGAAACATCTTCCGGATTCTTTTGCAACTTTTAGCTTATGCTGGGAATAGAAGTGGACCCCACACTTTTTTATCTTGCAACACTCTGATGGCGTCAAGCTCCTAAAATCATTGATTACTTGAAAGCTTATTACGAGATTCTTGACCTCAAAACTGAACTTGTAATAATAGAAATCTTGAAATTCATATCCCAAGAATACATGATCGAACTCAAAATAATTGGGTCCACTTCCTTTCTCCCAAGCCCAAAAAAATCCTTCAAGCAATGGAGGAACAAATGAAAGCCCAAAAGAATCCGCTCGCCTTAACTCATATCTAACGACCAAGTCTTCGTTGTTATAATGGTAATCTTGGAATTCTAAAATGGTGCAAAAGGCAAAACCGATAGCATCATTGAACAGACTTCGTGGTAGCTCTATAAGAAATCCATTACTTTGAAAGCTAAACCACTTGGGAATTTCATTTCCAGAATAAATAATAGAACTCCTCAAACGGCTCGCTTCCTGTCCCACAAAAATAGTTAGTTTAATGTCACGTTTTTTCATTTGAAAAAAGAAAGAAAGATGTTGAAATCATATAAAATGAGAGAGAGAGAGAGAGAGAGAGAGAGAAGGACCCATATATGTGCCGATAGTAAAGTTGTAAGCACGTCTGCTTCGTCGCTGGATGAATTCGAAACCAAATTTAAACAATTTATGAAGCTAGCTCTCGTGGCTACAGCACTTGGTAAACATGGTAACGCTTGCAACGATGTGCAACTATCTGCTACTCGAGATTTTATCTTAACTCTCTGAATATCCCTAACTCGAGAGAACAACACTCTCACCTGAATGATTAAACCCCCTAATCACTCGACTGATTTGCCTCACAATCTGGAAGAAATAATCTCAACCCTAACACAGAGAAGTGCAAACCCAGAAAACCCTAAAATATGTGTGTCTCTCCCTAATCTGAACGAAAGTGTGTTTATATATGGTGTGACTTCGTGGTTGATCCTGGCCGTTAGATCTGGAGTGCATCCTGCAGTCTAAATTTGTCCCAGTCAATATGCCTAAAACGACGTCATATTATTGTTACTCAAAACGACGTTGTTTCAGGCTTCCACATTTAACAGTTACAATAGCTCAAGTCAAGCAACCACAACTTCGAAAGTTTTAAGATGCTTGTTGGTATGCTCTCAAAATTGTTCCCAGCTAACTTTAATTTTTCTAATGATAATAGCAGCCCAAGGCTATGTGGTAACTCTGTGATATTGCAATGATCTAAGTTTAAACTCCATAAAAACTACAAACCTGGTAAAGTAGGTAATTGCGAACCCACCAGCTCAAGACTCTTGCATTTCTTAAAAGATAATCTACCAAGTTTGGTTAAAAAAAAAAACAAAAAAAAAAAAACTGATGACACATCTTTTACAGGAATTTCATCAGCTTCTAGCACCTCCAAACTTTGTAAATTTGCAAAGTCTTTGGGCAATCTATCAAGTTTTGAACAACCAGAGATATCAAGATATTTAAGAGACTTCAACTTACAAATACTGTCTGGAAGACTCTTAAGGCTTGAACAATTTCTAAGACTTAATCGGACAAGACTAGATAGATATTCAATTGACGAGGGAACTAATTCTTTTATTGCCGTTTCATCCAAATATAACTCTTCTATCTTAAATGATACCTCTGAAATCGTCCAAAGATTTGAAAAACCAGACAGGAAAAGATATTTAAGAGATTTAAGCTCATAAAAGCCCTTTGGGAGACTCTCAACCTTTGAGCAATTTGTAAGCCTTAAATTAAATAGATTAGACAAATGCTTAATTGATGGCCCCAATTCCTTAATTGCAGTTCCTTCGAGAGGAAATAGCTTTTTCCACCATGAGATTTAACCTTTTCTGCCCCCTAAATCAGAATGTAGATAATCCAAACAATTGTTTGCTAAGTGAACTCCTTAGGAAAACTGTTCCTATGTGTTTACCAAGTACACAAATCACAGAATTCTAAACTGGTAACAGTATCTTTCCCAAATTGTCCTAGCCGTTTCAGTACATCCATCCCCTTCTGACCATATGACCTAACCTTAGTGCCACATTTCGTTACTGATAAATTTGGAGACCCAAGTGTTGTGCTGTTGCAGTCAGAATAAAACTCCACAAAGTACATACAAACCATTTTTCTTTTCTCCTGTCAAACAAGATCTCATTTTTATAGACATTTAACCACCCAGTGTTTGCCTTATAGTAGCAGCCTGCTTCATCTAGGGTGCCTAATGATATGAGGTTCTTTTTAAGTCAGGTATATATCGACTTTGGTCAACCTTATTAGTTTCCCCCGACTTAACCTAAGGGTTATGCACCATCCCCTTAACCTACATGCTTGTTGTTCCCCTGTAACAATCTCATGATCAGACCCTCAAAGTCTTGGAACCAACTCCTATTAGCTCATATGAAGTGCACCCTGAATCTACACCCATTCTTTTGTAGTGTCAGATATTGACACTGTTAGGACTTCTGGTTCTCCTTTGGTTACTAGTGGTGGCTAGTTGCTCTTTGTGTTGCCTTTTCGTTTCTTCTTCCAATCAAACAGTTTTTCTTTAGGTGGCCTATCTTATTACAGTAGTAACATTTCTGGTTTCTGTTTTGGCTTTGTTTTCCCCTTCCATTTCTTCTTGTTCTTACCCCCTTGATTTGGCTGAAACTTTCTAGACTGAGCATATTCTATTCGACCCTTCAAACAGAGTGCTATGTTTCTCTTAGAGTTTTAAGCTCTAATTCTCTGACCTAAGACCCGCAACTATCAAATCAACACTGGGTACATACCGAGTACTGAAGGGCATTCTTGACTACTTGGTAGTCTTCAGTTGGGGAATTTAATAATATCATGGCAAGACTGTCTGTCCTAGTTCTTGGTCTGTGCCTTTAAGATTAGATTCATCTTAAGGAATTCATCTAAGTTTTCCTCTATGGACTTCGAATTATCCATCTTATAAGAGATAGGCTCCCTTTAAGAAAGCCAATTCGGTGTAGACTGTAAGGCATATAAAGATTCAATTTACCCCATAAACCAAGAGGAGTTTCGATCCATCTACCTTCCGAAGGACACTGTCCGACGATTCATCACGATCAGTTATAAGCTTCTTCGTCAATCTCTTCTTCTTCTCCGGTTTCTCCTCTGACCATTTCTTGGATCCTTTTCCAGTGCAATTCAACCTGTTGTGTGAGAGAAGAGCCTTCATCTTCTTCTTCCAACTCCCGAAGTCGATCTTCCCATCGTATTGGGAGATCTCCATACGGGTAGTGCTCATTTTTCCTGTAATGGAGGAAGGACAGTCTAAGGTGTACGTGGCGTTGTTACACCAGAATTGCCAATTATTGCTAGGCAGTTTTTAAGGGGTCACTTTGGTTTTCCAGCCAATATACCCTTACACTTTATCAAGATTGACTCGATTTGCTCTCTAGAACCAATTCTAGACTCAAAGAAATAACAATTTAAAACCCCAATTTCCGAAACCCTAATTTTTTGAAACCCTAATTTTTCAAAAATTCCCAAATTCACAAAACCCTAATTTCGTAAAAAACTTCTTATACCGAAACAACGACAGAGAAGTGAGTCTAGGTGACGAGGCGTTTGTACACTAGAAGTTGCCAATTACTGCTAGGTAGTTTTTAAGGCGGTCACTGTTTTTCCAGCCAATATACCCTTACACTCAATCAAGATTTGACTCCTAAACTTATTTTGAGACTCACAGGAATTGATTTGATAAAACCCCATTCTCAAAAGAACCCTAATTTTTACGAAACCTAATTTTGTAAAAAAAAAAAAAAAAACGAACTTCAACTTCAAGAAGGGCTCTGATACCACTGTTATAACCGAAACTTAATACTATCTATACACCAACACATCATCACACCAAGAAAAGAAACCACACAAGAACAAACACACACAAACAAGCCACGATTTACCGTGGTTCACTTATCCTTTTTGATAAGCTACATCCACGTGAGCTCAAGAACGGTATGAGCTCCGCTACACTTGATTATCAGAAACAGTCAAGATTACACAGATTCAACACTCACCAGATCTACCCAATTATAAACGCAACCAGTCTTACAAGATACCTAGTTCAAGCAGTGCTTGAACTTGGCTGGAGTGATAATTTTGGTGCCCATATCTGCTGGATTCTCTTCTGTGGGTACCTTCTTCAGTTCAATGATTCCACTTGCAACTTGGTCCCTCACAAAGTGATAGCGGACATCCACGTGTTTAGTTCTTTCGTGATACACTGGATTTTTGCTTAGGTGGATCGCACTCTGACTATCTGAATACACTGTCACCTTTCCACCAATTAGTTTTACTTCTGTCAGAATTCCTTTTAGCAATAAGGCTTCTTTAACTGCATCAGTTACTACAATGTGCTCTTATTCTGTTGAAGACAGTGCTACAATAGGCTGTAACTGTGATTTCTAGCTTATACAATTTCTACCCAGTGTAAAGAAATATGCAGTAGTTGATTTTCTGGTATCCTTATCACCTGCAAAATCAACATCTACAAAACCAACCAGATCAAGTGCAGTATTTCTTTTACAATATTCAAGCCCAACACAAACAGTACTGTTTATATATTTTAGCATCTATTTTAGAGCAGTCCAATGCTCCATACCAGGATTGGACATATACCTGCTTAACATGGAAATGGCAAAGGCTAGGTCTGGCCTAGTACTAATCATGGCATACATCAGTGACCCCACAACATTAGCATAAGGGACAGACTCCATTTTCAACAGTTCTGACTCAGTTTTGGGGCATTGGGACTTACTGAGAATAAACTGACTGGTTAGGGGCATTGAGACCAGTTTGGCACCAGCCATGCCAAACTTTGTGACTAGTTTGAGTAGGTAAGATTGTTGCTGGAGTCTAAGTTCACACCTCTTTCTATCCCTGTTTATTTCCATGCCTAAAATTTTCTTGGCATTTCCTAGGTTTTTCATGCTGAATTCAGTGTTTAGTCTTTTCTTCAATTCACTGATCAGGGGTTTTGACTTACTGATCAACAGCATATCATCAACATATAAAAGCAAGTAAATAGGCATATTATTATCCATTTTAAAATAGAAACAACTGTCATATTGACTTCTAGTGAATCCTATACCTATTATAAAGGTGTCAAACCTTTTGTACCGTTGCCTAGGAGACTGTTTTAACCCATATAGGGACCTTTTTAGGAGGTAGGCATGTTCAGGGAACTTAGGGTCAGTAAACCCCATAGGTTAGCTCATATAGATTTTTTCTTCAGTGTTCCATGAAGGAATGCAGTGGTGACATCCAACTGCTCTAGTTCTAGGTCTTGATAAGCAACTACAGACAGCATCAACCTAATTGTTTTGTATTTTACCACAGGGGAGAAGAATTGATTGAAGTCTATCCCCTCCCTTTGGATGGAGCCCTTAGCCACAAGTTTGGCTTTATACCTTGGTAGGTCAGCTATGGAAATGCCCTCTTTTAGTTTGAACAACCACTTACATTGGGTCAGCTTCTGATTACGTGGCTTTGGAACCAATGTCCAAGTTTCATTTACCTTTAAAGATTGCATTTCCTCCTCCATAGCTGTTCTCCATTTGTCCCTATCCTTGGATTCCATAGCCTCTTGATATGTATCAGGTTCAGACCTAAGCACTTCAGTACCTGCAAGCAGAGCAGTGTAAATCAGTTCTGCGTATGAGTACCTTAAGGGTGGTTTTACCTCTCTTCTGGTTCTGACTCTAGCCAGTTGATAATTTGTCAATTCATCTTGCTGTGGTTCTGGGAACTCTTCTGCTTCCTCATCTTCAGCTTGGTCAGGTTCCTCAGATGCAATTTCAATTTCAGGCTACTGGGTAGTTTGTGCTTGTGCTTGAGGTGGGTTTAATTGATGGGTTGTGTGCTCGACCTCAATCTGAGTGTTATTGGTCTGTCTGGTAGCTTCTTCTGTGCTTTTGGTTGTACCTTCATTAGGGTTAGTGTCTTTGCATGGGAATACTCCCTCATTAAACACAACATCCCTGCTCACTATGATCTTGACCCCTGGTGACTCTCTGTCCCATAGCCTGTATCCTTTTGTGCCCTCAGGATATCCAAGGAACACACACCTGGTTGATCTTGGTTCCAGTTTTCCCCCCACTGTGTGAGCATATGCAGCACAGCCAAATGCTCTTAGATGCCCTAGTTCTGGTCTTCTTCCAGACCATCTTTCTTCTGGACTTATTAAACTTATTACTGTGGAGGGACTCCTATTCACTAAATAGGCAGCTATGGAGAGTGCTTCTCCCCATAAAGTTTTTGGAAGATTTGAAGTGATCAAGAAGCACCTTACTTTGTCTAGAAGTGTTCTATTCATCCTCTCAGCCACCCCATTTTGCTGAGGGGTATTTCTCACTGTCTTATGCCTTAGGATCCCTTGTTCACTACAAAACTTGTCAAACTCCATATTACAGAACTCAAGCCCATTGTCAGTCCTAAGGGCCTTTACCTTTTTACCAGACTGGTTTTCAAAAAGGGTTTTCCAATCTCTAAACTTTGCTAGGGCTTGATCTTTTGACATAAGTAAGAATACCCAGACCTTCCTACTATAGTCATCTACTATTGAGAGGAAATAGCTGTTTTCACCATGGGATTTAACCTTTTTTGGCCCCCATAAATCAGAATGTAGGTAATCCAAACAGTTGTTTGCTAAGTGAACTCCCTTAGGAAAACTGTTCCTGTGCTGTTTACCAAGTACACAATTTTCACAGAATTCTAGACTGGTAACAATATCTTTCCCAAATTTTCCTAGCCTGTTCAATACATCTATTCCCTTCTGACTCATATGACCTAACCTTAAGTGCCACCTTTCAGTTACTGATAAATTTGGAGACCCAAGAGTTGTGTTGTTGCAATCAAAATAAAAACTACCACAAAGTTCATATAGTCCATTTTTCTTTTCTCTTGTCAACACAAGCTTCTCATTTTTATAGACATTCAACCACCCACTGTTTGCCTTATAGCAGCAGCCTGCTTCATCTAGGGTGCCTAATGATATGAGGTTTCTTTTTAAGTCAGGTATATATCTGACTTTGGTCAACCTTATTAGTTTTCCCCCACTTAACCTAAAGGTTATGCAGCCAATACCCTTAACCCTACATGCTTGGTTGTTCCCCATGTACACAGTCTCATGATCAGAATCCTCAAAGTCTTGGAACCAACTCCTATTAGGGTTCATATGGAAAGTACAACCTGAATCTAAAACCTATTCTTTTGTAGCGTCAGATATTGACACTGTTAGGACTTCTGGTTCATCCATTTGGTTACTAGTGGTGGCTAGGTTGCTCTCTGTGTTACCTAGTTCCTGTTTCTTCTTCCAGTCAAAACAGTTTTTCTTTAGGTGGCCTGTCTTATTACAGTAGTAACATTTCTTGGTTTCTGTTTTGGCTTTGTTGTTTCCCTTCCATTTCTTCTTGTTCTTACCCCCCTGATTTGGCTGAAATCCTTTACTAGACTGAGCCGATTCTATTCTACCCTTCACAATCAGAGTGCTATTGTTCCTCTTAAAAGTTTTAAGCTCTAATTCTCTAGCCTTAAGACCCCAACTATCAAATCAACACTGGGTACAGTACCGGAGTACTGAAGGGCGTTCTTGACTACTTGGTAGTCTTCAGTTAAAGAATTTAATAATATCATGGCAAGACTAATCTGTCCTAATTCTTGGTCTGTGCCTTTTAAAATTAGATTCATCTTAAGGAATTCATCTAAATTTTCCTCTATGGACTTCGTATTATCCATCTTATAAGAGAATAAGGCTCCCTTTAAGAAAGCCAAATTCGGTGCAGACTGTAAGGCATATAAAGATTCTAATTTACCCCATAAACCAAGAGAAGTTTCGAATCCATCTACCTTCCGAAGGACACTGTCCGAAAGATTCATCACGATCAGGTTATAAGCTTCTTCGTCAACCTCTTCCTTCTTCTCCAGTTTCTCCTCTGACCATTTCTTAGGATCCTTTTCCAGTGCAATTGCAACCTTGTTGTGTGAGAGAAGAGCCTTCATCTTCTTCTTCCAGCTCCCGAAATCAATCTACCCATCATATTGGGAGATCTCCATACGGGTAGTGCTCATTTTTCTTGTAATGGCAGGGAAGGAAAGTATAAGGTGTACGTGGCGTTGTTATACTAGAGGTCGCCAAGTATTGCCAGGCAGTTTTTAAGGCGGTTATTGGCTTTCCAG